GATTTTTTTACAGCAGCTGAGTATGTGATCAACAGTTTCATCAGCTTCTTTGCAAAGTCTGTTGCAAAATAATAATAATAATAATAATAATAATTATTATTATTATTATTATTAGGCAACAATTTATAAGTACATGAATGTTATACTGAATTATTGAATGACCTGCCCAGAACTAAACAGCTCTCCTTCCCCACCCTTCTGAAATCAGCTCACTCTACCGTAATTGTCTCTGCCCATGTTTCCTGCAGCTGCACACTTGGTGTTGAAATGGGGCAACTTACCCTGGCTAACTCACCCTGGCCCTCTTGCCGTGGCTGACCATGGTCGACTCTGAGGGACAGCTTTTTTCAGCCAACTCACCATGGGACAATTCAATGCAGGATAATTCAAGAGAAGGACAAGGGATACAGGTGATGCCATGTTTTGGCTCGCCCCAGCCTGGAGGACTTCTAACTTGAGAAGATTGAAACCAAAAACAAGACAAGGCCCCCTGCAATTCTCTTGTCCCTCTCTTGAGTTATCCCCAATTGAATTGTCCCACAGTGAGCTGTCCTATGGTGAACTGGCTGAAGCGAGTTGTCTGGAATGAGTCAGCCAGGATGACACAGTTGGGGCAAATCAGCCGCAGTGAGCCAACTGCGTGGAATTGTCCTAAATTCCTTGGTTTTAAGGCTTAGGTAAGTCTGCCATTTCCCCTTTTCCTTTTCCTCTCATCCAAACTTCTTATATTTGAGCTATTTCTCCCAACTTCTCAGCTTCTCATAGATAAAGCTTCTTATAGATGAAACCTCTCTGCTAATTGATTATGTGAAAATGCATCATCAAGCCCAACTCTTAATGATGAGCTTAGGATAACTTTAGGTTTGAACCTTAGACGTCCTTGAGGCTAGAGTGAACCAGAGCTTGAGTCACTTGTTCCTCTTTTGTTCCTCTGCTGAGTTATCCCATGTTGAATTGTCCTACTCCTATGACAAGTTGGGAACAGGAAGTTGGCCATGGTGAGTCGGTTGCAGGAAGACGGCCAGGGCGAGTCAGCTGGGGCGAGTTGGCCATGGCAAGTTGTCCCATTCTGCTTAGTGACCACAGACAGGTTCTCTTCATGACAATCAATGCCTAACCTGTTCTTGCCTCCATCATTTCTACTAAAAAAGTCTCCATTCTACACTATTCCCCCATCTCATGGCCTGACCTTTAAAACAGGAGCTAGTTAAACTATACCTTAGCATCCCTCCCAGGTAAATCTTATCTCTTCCCCAAATATATACCTCCATTCACCTTCCTCCCATCTGATCTTCTTTCCTACATCCTACAACTGTGATGGCGAACTTATGGCACATGTGAATGGCAGCTCCAGCACACATATGTGCGCCAGCCAGGTTTTTCAGCCTTCTGGAGGGTCGAGGGAGGCTGTTTTCTCCCTCCCCAGTCTTCAGGAAAGCCTCTGGAGCCTGGGGAGGGTGAAAAACAGGCTCAACGGGTCAACCAGATGTTTGGGAATGAACTTCTGGTTTGCCTGTTGGACCTGTTTTTCTCCCTCCCCAGGCTCCAGAGTCTTTCCTGAAGACTGGGGAGGTCAAAAAAAGGGGCCCAAAGGGCCAACTGGAAGTTCAGAAACGATCTGTTTCTGCCTTCCGGAGGGTCTCCAGGGGGCCAGGGGAAACCGTTTTTGCCCTCCTCAGATTTCAGAAAATCCTCCAGAGTCTGGGGAGGGTAAAAACTCCCCCCTCCCCGTGCAGGAAGTCGTACACGCATGTGCTGTGTGGGTCGCGCGTGCATGCACAGATGGATAGGGCCGGGGGGGGGGGGATACGCAATTTTGGTACTCCTTTAAAAATAAAAATAAAGGTTAGTTATCACTGTCCTACAATCTAGCTGCTAAAACTGCAACCTGCCTTGCCTTGTAGCCAATTTTCCTGAAAAGCACCAGGTTGCGCTATCAATCAGAACATGTTCAGTCTTTCTCTCTTGGATACATATTTTGTAATGGTTGGAAAGCACAGTAGAATTCCACGTGGCAAATGTTGCAACTCAGTGCATCCTGTAGAAACCTGCAAGTCAGTTTCACAACTTTGTAAACGCCTTGAAGGCAGCATCCTCGGTTAGACTTGTTTTGTACAAATTGCTCCTAAGTGGGAATGTTTTGTGCACGCTGCGTGCTTGTATGTGTGATGATTTTCTCATCTTTATCTCTCATTTTCTCCAGTATCCAAGCTGTTTATGGTGACTTGCATCAGGCCATTGAGGAGATAAATGACCAAGAGGATCTTAAATTGTGGCGTAACCGAAATGGCCCAGGAATGCCCATGAACTGGCCAAAATTTGAGGTGGGAAGCATTTCTTCTTCAATGGTAGGAGAAGAGCATGCTGCATGTTCTCAGAATCCTTCCGGTTTCCATTTATGCACAGATAGAAAAATGTCCCAGCATAGTAATACAGGTAGTCCTCGACTTACAACAGTTTAGTCATCATTCAAAGTTACAACGACACTGAAAAGAGTGATCATTTTACTCACTTATAACCGCTGCAGCATCCCCATGGTCATGGGATCAAAATTCAAACACTTGACACTGACTCAGATTTATGACACCTGCAGTGTCTTGGAGTTATATGATCACTGTTTTGCGATCTTTTAACGAGCAAAATCAGATTCGCTTTAACATCCATGTTACTAACTTAACAATTGCAGGGATTCACTTAACAACTGTGGCAAGACAGGTCATAAAATGGGGCAAAATTGAGAGAACCCAAAGATATTTCACGAGAAGAGTCCTCCATTCATCTACCCGCAGTAAAATACCTTGTGCCACCAGAGTTGAAATTTTGGGCTTAGACAACTTAGAACTATGTCGCCTTCAGTCTGACCTAAGCGTAGTACATGAAATCACCTGCTACAATGTCCTGCCTGTCAATGACTACTTCAGCTTCAACCACAACAGTACACAAGCAAACAACAGATGCAAACTTAAGGTAAACCACTCCAAAGTTGATTGCAGAAAATATGACTTCAGCAATAGAGTAGTGAATGCCTGGAATGTACTACCTGACTCAGTGGTTTCTTTCCCTAACCTCCAAAACTTTAACCTTCAACTGGCTACTGTTGACCTCACCCCATTCCTAAGAGGTCTGCAAGGGGCGTGCATAAGCACACCAACATGCCTATTGTCCCTGTCTTAATGTCCCTTTTTATTCCTATCCTTTTCATGTATTCAAAATCATGTTTGTACTTTTATCTGTTATCTTATAAATATGCTTGACAAAATAAATAAATAGAACAAATGCCTCACTTAGCAACAGATATTTGGGGCTCAATTATGTTCATAAATCAAGTTCTACCTGTAGTTTCCAGTAAGAAAAAAAATAAATCCACTGTTTAGTTGATTCTAAATCCAGATATTCTCACTTCTCCGTGGTTTTTTCCCTCAGAGACAAAGAATTCCTTCTCTTCAGAGCCTTCAGGCTGACAGTCAACTGTTGTTTATAACATCCTCTGTGACAAAACAATTCAGCTGATAGCTAGGGAAATATTTCAGATTGTTTGATAACAACAGTAATCTCCTTTCTCCCTTTTCTGACAAGTTGCCAGAAATAACATGAAAGAAGTAAAGATTTTTGCTTTCATTTAACATCTCATTTACACCTCTTAACAATTATGGTTTAATAAAAATTAGATTATGTTAAAAATTAGAGCTAGACCCCACAGCTTGGTTTAGGAATCTTCAGACTCTTCAGGCTGACAATCTGATTTAATTAATTATGCTATTTACCTTTGTATTTCTTTCAAGGTAAATTATAGGATTTTACTGTAAAAAAAAATCTTGGCACCAAATGAAATATAAAAGACACCTAAGTTCCAACACCTACGCTCTTCTCTAGGGTTTTGTATAGTCTTGCAAATGGGGCCTGGTTGAAGGAAGACTTTAGGAATCTATTTATATGGAATACAGAATAACATTTGGAAGGGATCTTGGAGGTCTTCTAGTCCAACACCCTACTCGATCAGGAGCCTTTATAACATGCTTGACAAATGGCTATCCAATCTCTACTTAAAACCTCCAATCATAGAGCACCCACAACTTCCAGAGGCAAGCCATTCCACTAATTAATTGATTTTGAGAATTATTAATGGCTTTTAAGAAATAGCGACTACAGGTAGTTCTCAACTTACAACCATAATTGAGAGCAGAACTTCTGTTGCTAAGTGAGGCAGTCGTTAAATGAGTTGTGCCCAATTTTATGACCTTTGTTTGCAGGGTCATTAAGTGAATCACATAATTGTTAAGTGAATCCAGCTTCCACCATTGAATTTGTTTGTCGGAAGCTGCCTGGGGAAGCTGCAAATGGCAATCACATGGCCCTGGGACTCTGCAGCTGTTGTAAATATAGGACAGTTGCCAAGTGCCCAAATTTTGATCGTGTCGCCATGGGAACACTGTGACAGTCATAAGTGCAAGGTGGAGTTGTAAATCACTCTTCCCAGCACCTTTTTAACTGAACACTAAGCAAGTGGTGGTAAGTTGACGTCTCTTTATATTTCCATACATACAAGTCAAGAGGGAAATTGCAAAATAATACTAAAAATTGTTGGGGGCATTAAAAACAAACCCCACTAAACAAATTGCTAGCACGTTTTGATGAAAAATTTTATCAGGGTAAATGTATTACTTTATTAAAGTTCCCATACATTTTTCAATCCTTTTTTTTTTTAGAAGGGCAGATTTTATTTTTCTTCTTTGGACTAGCTACCGTCCATCTCTTGAGATAATGTATGGTGGAAAACCCACTTCATCTATCTCCAAAATGTTATAATGCTTTTCATCCTGTGGTGATTAGAGACTTCCTGCGGGTGACTGACAGGTCCAACTACCCAAAAAGGTATCCGCATCAACCAAGCTCTGCCTATTGCAAGGCTGCCCTTTTGATTCCTAACCACTTTCAACTTTTCTTCTTCTTTTTTTAAATTCTGAATGGGATGCATCCCAAATTCAGATTTCACATTTTCTTCCTCTCCTCTCCTCTCCTGCTACCCAGGATTGGAGCCCTAATCTTGACCTACAAGTGAAGATCAAGAAACCCAAGGAACCAGAGAAAGTGACACCTTGTAGCATCTCCCCCTCCCAGAGCTGGTGAGTTGTATCTCCACCTTCCTCTTCCTTCTCACCCTCCAAAATCAGTGAAAGAGCTAGAATGATAAAATAATGTTGGATAATGTGTAACTTGTAGTGTCCATCTTCCAAACTCAATAAACCTACCATATTTTTCGGAGTATAAGACGCACCTTTTTCCCTCAAAAAAGGGGGTAAAAATATGGGTGTATTTTATACACCAAATACAGCATTTTTGGCCTACCAAAACCCTGCCCCCTTCACCAAAATGGCTGTGCATAGCCTTTAGGAGGCTTCCAGAGTGCTCCTGGTTGCTGGAGAGGGCAAAAAAGAGCAAACAAAGGGCTGTTTTGCCTCCCCCAGCCCCTAGGAGCACTCTTTAAGCCTCCTAAAGCCTCTGCACACCCTTTTTTTAAAAAAATAAATAAATAGTGGCCCGTTTTTGCAAAAAACAGGCCATTTTTTGTTCATTCCCCCCCCCCCCTGCCCCCAGGAATATTCTACAAGCCTCCCAAAGCTCTGCATTCCCCCTCCCCTTTTTGTTGCAAAAAATGAGGCATTCTGAGGGTTTGGGACACCTGCAGATTGCAAAAACTTTTTTTTAAAAATTACCTCTTTAAAATCATGGTGCGTCTTATACTCCGGTGCGTTTTATAATCCGAAAAGTACAGTAATCTTCCCAGGATAAGAGGACTGCTCCTTTCATAGATTGTTAATTGGTTCACAATACAGAAAGCACAGAATAGAAATGGATGGGCACTTTTTCTGATTTTTTTTGGGGGGGGAAGGGGGGAACAGGAGCTGGAATGATTTTGAGAGAGCTACAAGCCGCCAAAGTTTGCAGATATGATTACAAGCAAGATGGTGAAAACTAGAAATAATTATGAAGAGATTGAATAATCAAATGGCAACTATAGTCCAGTTTAAGTAAGTGTGATGCGATGCCCCAGTGGGGCAGAAAACCCTAAGTTTGCATAAACCCAGAGTTGCTTGTGACTAACCGAAAAAGGCCTCAAATAGAGAAAGTGAAAACATCAACTCAATGTGTAACATTGGTGGAAAAAACCATTTCCTTGCCATTGGCAAGGAAAGACTGACAATTTGCCAACATGATAATGCAATATATCAAATTCCATGTTAAGGATTACAAGAAAATGGATTGAAAACTCTGAACATTGTAAAGCAATAGCACAAATCTATGTTATGTCTACAGTTTATAGTCCCAGCTGCCAGGTTTAAAAAGGATATGGTAAGCTTTTTAAAAAGTGCAAAAGTGAACTCCCAAATGATCTGGGAGATGAAACATTCTTCCTGCAAGAAAAAACTGGAATATTTGAACTTGAAAAGAGGAGGAAGGGGCCTGATTCACATATGGCATAGGAAACCCCTAATTCTTAAACATTAGGGTCAGGGGTCATGTAGTGAAATTGAGGAGATTTGGCTACAGAAAAAAAGCAAGAGTTTCTTTATAGATCATATAATTAAAATATATGGCTATCACTCAGATGCAGTGACAAGCACAGATTTGGATGGTTTTAAAAGTCTTTGGGCCTCTAGCAGACTCTCTCAACTGCCTTATCTTGCCGGGAGAGGGGGGGGGGGCATCAGAGAAACAATAGGGAGAGGGAGGAACAAAGACTTCAGAGACATCTGGCTGACCACTGGAAAGTTGGGGTGTGATACAAGAGGGTAATCTTTATGTTCTTAGTGATCAAGACACTCTTCTACTGGAATACTTGCAACCTCGTAAAGTAAGTGAATAATACATGACAACAGCAGGAAGCCTGTAATTAAGAAAGGGTGATTTGCCTACAGCCACTTATTTATCTGATTAAGGCACCATACCAACCCATGATTTGCTTAATCATTATGAAATAAGCCACATTTGGCTGGGTTCAAACTCTAACCATAAAGCACAAAGTATACAAAACAGGATGGTTGGATTCACCCAGTATGTGTGCGTGGTTTGGACTAGGTAGTTGTAAAACTGTTGAATTTCAACAGTTTCACACACACAGACTCCCAAAAATTGAGTCCTCCATGATTGATAAGTCTACTCCAATGATTTTGAGGACTCCCAGAATTTCCCGTCAGTCTGTTGCATCATATTCTCTCATATTCTCTTCCACTCGTACCTATTAATTTATCATTAACAGGTACCAGAGGAAATGAGAAGGCACCTTCTCACTTGTGAGCAAAGTCAAAGGATGCCTTCCTTGTCATTGCCACAGATATTCCATCCTACAATCTGACATTGAAAGTTTTGGATCTAATGAAGTCCCTTCTCTTTCTGAAGGCCATCCCTGATTGGCTGCAGGGCTTGCCTTGCCCTTCAATCGGCTTGGATGCTCAGCTCTTTGAGACAATTCTACTTGTTCCTACATGGAGCATTTTTATTTATTTCTGAATGCATAAAATTTCAGTCATGAAAGGAGATCATCAGAGTGAGGCCACTCAGAAAACATGCACTTCAAAAATAGCTCCACGTCCCTGCATATAAAGTTCTTTCTGGTTTAACACAAGAGGACTGAAATGGGCACAGGAATAGCAGAGGAGATGCATGTTCTGATCTCTTTTTTGAGATTTTTGAGTTGCTATAAAACATTTCTCAGAATCTGGGCTTGATAATAGAGGGAACATTTCACAGTTATGCAATTTATTAAACTTAAATGTGGTTAGCTGGTTTTGTGTACTGTGGCACCAGAGGTGGGTTCCTACTGGTTCAGGCTGGTTTGGCTGAGTAGGTAGTAACTTGGCCGGCCACGCCCCCAAACCGGTTCTATCAGTGGCGCTGTAGGCACTGCCATCTTGTTTTTTGCTTCTGCGCATGCGCATGTAGTGCACATCAAACACACACGCACCCAAAGCCTGCGCCCGAAGGGCATCCCTGAGCACATCGGCAGTAACAGAAGCCAGAACCCACCCCTGTGTGGCACCCACTCAAGTATGGTTTATTCATTTTAAAAACTAGGTTGTGACATGAAACGTGATGTCAACTGCCTGGGTTGGTAACCATGATTAGGGCTTAGTTACCTATGTGGATGTAGCCAACTATTTCATAAACCATTATTTAAAAATAGTTATTACAATGTACATGCTACATCTCTACTATAAGGTCACATGCATGTTTCTTCTTGTGCTTTTATCATAGTACAATACTCCTCCAAAATGTGTATTGGGCCCACTAGAAAGAACATACTCTCTGTGCCAACAGCACTTCCTTAGTTGGGACATGGGTTTATTCCTGTGCAGCTCATCTTTCTCCAATCAGATTTTGAACCTCTGAAAATGCTTTTCAAGTGTGTGTGGGGGGGGTGGGATTAAGCATTAGTATCAAGACTTGAATCATCTGTGGTTTGATCCAAAGAAAACTTCCTAATGCCCTTTCAAGTATTCAGCAAATTTTATAATATGTGATAGGATATGGATGTAATAATTAAAGAGATTTACCTCTCAGTTGCTGTGTTGTTATTATAACATGAGTGATGACAAGAAGACAATAAAACCTTCTGGTCAGGATTTAGTTTTATTTGAAAGGCATCTTTCAGGTTGTGGCGTTTTTTTTATAAAATTTTATTTAAAAATCATCTAGACTGAACTTAACTATTTTATAATACAACCAAATGCTCTGTGGCCAGTTTAGAAATTTGTGCTGATTATTTTTGTGCAGTAAGTTATTTTGAATGTTTATGATTTACTAAAAACCTCATTTTCCAAAGAATTGTGGCTTTAAGTTTGCTTTCAGGAATATTTGAAGACTAATGTTGCTCCTTTACTTAAGAGAGCAATGTATACTTCGTAAGGCAGCCCTGCAATTATAGAGCTGGAATATATTCTTTCTGCTTAATCATGTCAACAGGACTTGCAAAGTAGTCCTTGAGTCACAATCATAATGGAGCCCTGCAATTACAGTGATAAATTGTGACAATCGGAAAGGGAGTCATGACAAAACTTGATTTTGCAACATTTTTATGGTGGGCATTAAGCGAATGTTGAGGTCATTAAGTAAACCCCTTGTTCGCTATGGGGCAGTTTTTGCCAGAAATAAAAAGTAAACTCTGGTTCCCAGCAAAATGATTGTAAATCATGGTTGGGTGACCACAGGGCACTTCCAACTGAGTTGCCAAACAGTCAAAATGCAGCCATGTGACTATGGGGGGGCAGGGGAAACGAACATCGGAACTTTGGAACCGGGTCAAGTTTTGGCAGAGGCCACTGTAACTTTGATCAGTCGCTAAGCAAACAGTCGTAAATTAAGGACTACCAGTACAGGAGCAGGAAGCTGAATAAAATGCTAACTTCAAAATTAAACTTGTTCTCAATTTATACTAACACAAGAACCATTTCCCACCGGAAATAAGCACTTCCCCTCTTCCCCTCAGTTTTGGAACCTAAAATGAGAGATTACAAACCCAATAGTGTAATAAACACGAAAGGATTTTTTTTAAAAAAAAATTAATGAAGACAACGAAGGGAAGATTTGCAAGGATAGTTTCACTACAAGCAGTTTGTAAATGAAGATTTAATCGCCCAGGCCAAAAGTCTCAGTTTTAATAAACGTTGGTCCAATTGCTATGATTTAATCTTTTATGAAACTACAAGCAGTTCTATGAAGCTATGATCTGCTTGTAATTCATAAGTAACCCAAGCAAACAAAGAGACAGAGGTACAGAATTAGAATGCAGATAAAATTACCCTTGTAAAAAAATGAAATATCCCTCAGAAGACTAACTAAGCAGTCGGTCATAATTTTACCCACTTCCTGGTTTTTCTAGGCCCAGTGACATTAAATCTGTTCTCAGGGACCTGGTGATCCATGTCTCGTGCAGACCAACAAGCCAAGGCTTATTGAAAGAAAGAAATTATAAGTAGTTCTCAACTTACAATCTTTGTTTAGTGCCTGTTCAAAGTTACAATGGAATTTTAAAAAAGTGACTTACAACAAGTTCTCACAGAGACAATCATTACAGAATCTTTGTGGTCAGGCAATCGAAATTCGGGTGTATGGCCACTGGCATGTATTTATGATGTTTGCAGCATCTCAAGGTCATATGAACACCATGCAACTTCCTTAGCCAACTTTTGACAAGCAAAGTCAGTGGAGGAAGTCAAATTCGCTTAAGGATCAATGATTTGCTTACCAATTGCAATGCTCACTTAATAACATAAAGATTACAACAAAGATTATAAAATTGGGCATGATTCACTTAATAACAACCTTGCTTTGCAGTGGAAATTCTGATCCCAATTGTGGTCCATAAGTCAAGGACTATCTAGAATCTCTAACGTCCACTTCCTGGGATCTCATCTTGGAAGGACAGTTCCTGCATTTATGGTGTCCTTAAGAAAGTTCAGCTGGCTAGCAGGCCATCCAAGTTTCAGACTCTCTTTAACTACCGGTATTTATAGATTTTCAGTCCTTTGTTAGTTCCTAAATTTATGATTGTCACTCACATGATAAGGCAAAGAAATGACCAGGTGTCAACATTGATGATCCACAGAAATCCAGATGTAAATCTCCTTTTCGCCATGAATTTCATTTGGTAATCTTCAATAAGTCAGTGTCAGATGTTCTTCATACTTCACATTAAGCTATAATATAATAACATATAATGTGTTTATTTGTGGCTTACCATGTACCTTACTTTAGCCTCTTGTAGGATATGCAGAAAGAGCAGGGTAAGTATAATAAGCAAAGGTTAAACAAGGTCACTTATAGTCACATTCTCCCTCCTTTCTACAGTCCCAAGCCAGCACCTGCACCAATAGCAGGCCAGCGGGTTCGTGCCGTGTATGATTATATTGGCCAGGAAGCAGATGAGCTAAGTTTCAAGGCAGGTGAGTGTTATCTTCATAATCCTTCCATCCAACGTCATTCTTCAAAGGAAGTCTCATTTCCATAGAAATATTAAAATGGATATGAATGTATTCCAACCTCCTAAAATGGACTCTGATTTCCCTTCTCTTGTCATCTGTATTATTGCATGCTCTTCATTTCCTCAAAAATGCGATCTCCCCCCAAAATAAGCCCCACCCTATTTTTATGTATGTGTCTAATATAAGTGTTGTATAGGGATCGTCTGCCTTCTATTCCATGCATCAGGATTGCCTGCCTTCTACTTTGCACAGCTCAAATGTGTGCTGACTAAGGAACTGGTGGGCTACAGCTGCCTGTCCCCATGAACTTGCCAATTTTTGTGTGTGTGCCGGGGAGTGGGGTGCACAGCTGGGATGACCACCCCAAAATTGTGTTTTCCCGAAAATAAGCTCTAGTGCTTATTTGGGGGCCCAAAAGAAAGGCAGGTTTTATTTTCTGGGAAACAGAGCATATGAAATTCTAAGGATGGAGATAAGAAATCAATTGCTTAAGGACTTGAAAATCTACCAGCCAGGCTGGAAGGAGGAGTCAAACAAGGACCTAACGTGGAGTCCTTGTGTTGCTGCAAGCAACCAAGATCCATGAAGCCTTCTTTAATTATTCCCAGGGGAAAGCAAGCATTCTGATGAGATTTTTGCAACATAGTGGTAGATAATAAAGTTACTGACTATTGTTATTCATGAATGGGCTGTGGTTGTTTGCACTTGACAAGGATTAGGAGATAGTGGTGTTTCCAGTTACAAAGGTGATGGGTACAGCCTTGCTCATCTAATACTATTTTCTCCTATACCAAAGTGATCAGGATAAACAGACAATTGTCCTGCCTCTTCCCAAGGTTGCTCCATACAACTTAGATACAGTGCTATCTACCAATTCTTCAGATGACAGAAAACAATACTAGCATAACAGTTGTTGTCCCACTGTTGGATTTTATTCTGCCATAGAAGAATACCATTAAAGGGCATCCTTGTTTACAGTGAACTAAGGAAAGGACATGAGGGTTGTACTGACTTTGGTTTCCTTCTGTCCCACTAAACATATCAGCCAATGTACTTGAATGGGTTGAGGCTGGGTAACCACTGAGTTCTGACGGAAGATCAAAGATGGGGTTCTGTCTGTCAGAAGTTATTCTAGCCAAGGCTGAAAAGAGTGGTATTAAGCCTGCAATTTTATCCAGACAAGACACACAGCCAGGAGTGCTAGTTCTACTGTAGCTTTATTGTAAGATGTTTGGGTTTGGATTTCAATTTGTTTTTTGTGCCCTTTGAGTCACTGTTGATGTTAACCAACTGCCTGGATTAGTCCCTGCAATTTTCTTGGCAAGATTTTGGAAGTGGTATGTCATTACGTGCTTCCTAGGGCTGAAAAGGTACGATTGGCCCAAGGTCATCCAGCTGGCCCTGTGCCTTAGTCACTACACTAAACTGGCTCTCTGTTGCAATGTTTCATTAAAAGAATCTTGCGAGACGAAAGTATTCTCCCCTTCTTTAATTTCCGGAAAGCTAAGGAGAGTCCCTTTTGAAACATCTCCCACACCATTTCCTCTTCTGTGGCTGAGGTATCTTTTACATGGCAATTGCCCCATGTGAGATTCTCCCTTCTAAGGTCATCCCTCCATCCCATCCCTAGACAAGATGGGCAGCTTACATATCAAATCATAAATAAACAAACAAGCAAATAAATAAATAAATACAGGTGGCAGGAGAAAGGAAGAGTTATCAATTTTTTACTAGCCTCAACCTATGGCACTCATTAACTGTCCACTGGGTGGGTAACGACTTGACCCCCTCCTTCTCTTCAGCCCCGGGGAGCTACTGCTAATACTGGGAAGGGCGGCAGGAGAAGAGGGCAGCCAATTCATTATTAGGATTCTTGGGAGGCAGGCTAGACTTAAACTTTATCCATCCCCACCTTTGCAATACTGAAAAGTGCTGTATCTTCACTACAGTTGGCAGCAGGAATTTTAATTTGGATTTGCATAAGGCAGGTAAGATTAAAGCATTCCTCCTTCTTGCCTCACAGCCCTGTTGAATATTTATTTATGCTGATTCTAATGGGAAACCTGTTCCCCTTTGTCCAACTGCGGCTGATCAGCAGAGTAACTTGAGTTCCTTCAATCAGGAGGACCATGACCAAGGATCTTCTCCTTCTTTTTGTGGGTTTCATTTAGTGATGTTCGAAGTCACAACGACACTGAAAAAAGTGACTTGTGACTGTTTTTCACACTGTTGCAGCATCCCCATGGTAATGTGGTCAAAATTCAGACTTGGGCAACTGACTCATATATTACAATGGTTACAGTGTCCCTGAGTCTTGTGATCACCTTTTGCAGCTTCTGGCAAGCCAGGTCAATGGGGAAGCCAGATTCACTTAAACTACTGTGTTACTTAACAACTGCAGTGATCCATTTAATAAAGGTGGCAAGAAAGGTCATAAAATGGGGCAAAACTCACATGTCTTGCTTAGCAACAGAAATTTTGGGTTCAATTGTGGCCATAATTCGAGGACTACCAGTAATATTTATGAACAAGATGGATGCCTTACAAACCAAACATAGAAGGCAAACATCATGCCTACTACTTCCAGCGTCAGAGTTGTTACCCTGATCTCCAAGGTATTTCAAGCCTCAACTAATCGGCATCTCTGTCCCTTGTTCCAGAACATAGACTCATGCATACACACCTCTTACTCATTAAGGCTCAGCAAGGCACATGTAGCTCATTTTCTCAAAGCTGTGGGGGATGATTCTCAAGAGATCTTTCCCAAACATTATTTTTCCTTAAGGAAACATCAAGACTCTGGGCCATTAACAAGCAATCTTCTGAACAAAGGCATGGCTAGCCAGCAACCACAATGCTATTGTGAAAGTATTGTAACACCACAAGAACAACGAGTTTAGCTACAGTTGCCTACTCCTAGGCATAATTGAAATTGGTGGGCATGCTGGCTCCCTTGAGCAATATCTAACCTGAATTGGGAAGTAAGGAAGTGGCGATCCACTAGATCTGAAGAGTTCCAGGATGGGAAAGACAATTCTAAAATCTGATTGATTTTAGTCTTTTTTTAGTTAGCAAAACATTGGTGGTATATTAGAACTGCTGGTTTTTGACATGTTAGAACTTGAGATGAGATGGCTGGCTTTGAAATTACATATGAGTGTGTGTGTGTGTGTGTGTGTGTGTGTGTGTGTGTATTCTTTTACTTAAAATTCATGTTAATAAAATGCAAAGAGGTATATGGGCCTGGAAAAGGATGCAATAAATAAAATGACTAAAAAAATATTACCATCTTGATCTTCTGTTAAAAAACAAAACAAAAATTCATTGCTTTAAATGAGATGCACAGTTTTTCTTCCAGCACTCTATGTTAATTCTTTTGGTAAGTCTCCATGCTTGCTTTAATAGATTCTAAATTAATCCCTGGGAATATAGCCAAGAAAAAACAAATGCATTCCCAACACGTAGTCATCAACCCAGAATCATATTAACAGTCCTACTATTCTAAATGTGACAATACCAGAACAAGGCTAGTATTAATAGCAGTACTGTTTTATGTATCTATTTTATACATATCTTCAATTAACTAACTAGTTCCTTACAATATCATTAATAAATATTTAAAAGGTTTTCACTGTATTTTATTATTTTTAGAAAAACATAAAACAAACAAACATGAACACGCACAAAATAAAAACCCTTCTCCAATAATTTACAGTGTGTGGATTGGTTACAAACTTTTGTGCATTCTCACAATAGTCTTCACTTGCAGTTTATATACTCATATCATCAATCTAATATATATGTATGCAATTGTTAGGGTTCTTAAACATTCATTTTACTATAGCTATTATTACATCCTTTTTATGTAAAATATTCTAAATTTAAAATAAATTTATATTATGGCATTTCATTACATCATCCTGAAATCATCCAATAATATTACATCTTTATATTCCATTCTATATAGAATTGCTTAGCCTTTATAACAAAGCTTTTCAACATCCTCTCCATGGCCCTCACTTACAATTTGTATAAAATTTCATATTATCCATCTATTGTATATATATGCATTATTTACCATTTTTAATCATTTGTTTAGCTATAACTATTATTACTTTATTTTATACATAATACTCTAAATTTAACTAAGTTTAACTTAATTTTTATTCTAACATTTCATTTCATCACGTGGACTTCTCTTGGCACCTTATTGTTCATTTCATATCTTGTAAAGACTCCAAACCCTCCATCTGTTCCTTCCATCCGCTTGCCTTTAGTTATCACCGATGTTTCTGCCAGAATTTCTCTCATTGTTTCTGCCAGATTTTCTCCCTTTTCTTCTTTCATGTTTTGAAGTTTGAGATAGAGTTCCAGTTCGTTAATCTCTCCTTTCAACATTCCACTCCTATCATTTCCAACCATGCTTGATTTGCTGTCAATATCAACAATTTTCTTATCACTTTGTTCATATTTTTCTTCAATTTTATGAACGCTATCCTCAAATTTCATCATCGTTTTGTAAATATTCTTAACTCTTCCCTCTATTTTTTCTGTTTTTTGTTCTATGTTGTCCATTCTCTTTTCAATGTTTTCTGTACTTATTTGTACTTTTTGAATTTCTAACATAATGATTTGCAACATTAATTCTTTTTCTTCTTCATGTTGCGCCATTCTTCCAGGTTATAAACACTGCCACTAAAACATCCAAGGCTTTTTTGTTAAGTTTCAAACAAGTTCACTATAATGTTTCAAGTCAAGGCTTTCTCTTCACTCCAGTCTAGCTATTGATAGTACTCCAGAAGAGCATCTGCATAAACAATCTGTACTCTTCCCACTATCCCTTTCAATAAACAAAATCAGGAGCTTTGAAATATAAGATGTGAGTTAGATGTTCAAAGGAAATAAGAAAAAAATGATGTTTCCAAGCCTCCAGCCTCTAGGTGTTATTACTTCTTTTTCCTCCGCTTTTATCCCTCTCTTTAAATTCCGAACTTAAGAAAAAAAAGTGCTTAAAAGCAAACAATCCAGCCAAGAGTTGTAAAAAGAAGAGAAAGAAAATCATAATCCACTAATATGAAAAAGAAGAAAAATAGAAGAAGAGGGGAAAAAGAAACCAGTCCAATTTAAAAAGTAAGAGGCATTTGTAAAAGTTCCATCGATTTTTTAAAAAATAAAATAAAATAATATACTAAGTTTAATTCAGGCTTAATTCTCCACTTACTCTCTTCTGTCTTCAATTTTAATTTTACTCCAAGTCTTTTTGGGTGTTTTCTTCTCTAATAGTAAAATTTATCTCACCATTTCAGCACACTCTCTCTCCTGCTTTTCTTCCGTTCAGGGGCTGTCTCAACCTTCTGCAGCTTCAATGGCTGCTTCTCTTTCACCAGAAAAAAGAGCTTCTCCTGGATCAATCAGGGACTTTGCGATGTCCCTGAGATCAGCAGGACGTGTCTCTACGGGACGGTTTAAGTCCAAAATGACCGTCCAGCAGCAGAAATATCGACAGCAATCCTGGAGCTCCAAGATTGCATGTCGTGTCATCGCGACATCAAGACCCGCCCTCCTCATTGTATTTTGAGACCATGTTGGGAAAAAAATTCTGAAAATTCTGAAAAGTAACCTAGAAATCCTTGAATTATTTTAGAATATAGCAGTTAGACTTAGACTATGTATCAAACCATTCTTTAATACAGGTAGTCCTTGACTTATAACCACAATTCAGTCCAAAATTTCTGTTGCTAAGTGAGACATTTCTTAAGTGAGTTTTGTCCCCTTTTATGACCTTTCTTGCCATAGGCATTATGTGAATCACTGCAGTTGTTAAGTTTGTAACACAGTTGTTAAGCTTCCCCATTGAGTCAGAAGGTTGCAAAAGGTGATCTCATAACCCTGGGACACTGCAATGTGACTCAGTTGCCATACATCTGGATTTTGGTCAGGTAATCATGGGAATGCTGCAACAATCATACTTTTTTTCACACATTTGTGGGGAAAAAATGAGCAGAGATGAGTTTCTATCGGTTCACACTGGTTTGGGCTAACTGGTAGCGGTAATTTGGCCTTGGTCACAGAACTGGCAGTGACTCAGGCTGGCCATGCCCCCAAAATGGTTCTCCAGTTGCCGCTGCCATTGCTGGCATGTTTTTTAGTAGTTTTTCACATTCTTCACACATGCGCAGAACAATTTACAATGAACTGTGCACCCACATGCGAAGCAAACTGGTACCAACATGGGAAGGACCACCTCTGGTCATGAGTCACTTTTTTCAGTGCCATTGCCATTTCGAATGATCACTAAATGAACTGTTGTAAGTCGAGGACTACCAGTATTTATGGAAGTTAATGTCAGATCAGTTTATTGACTCAAACTATTTCACCCTTCCCATTATCTGTAATAGTTTATGAGATCCTCCCCTGCTTTTTCTTTTCAGGAGAGCTTCTCACCAAATTAGAAGATGAGGATGAACAAGGCTGGTGCAAAGGAGTGACTGACAGTGGACATGTGGGCCTCTACCCTGCCAACTACGTGGAACCCATACAGGGTTAGATAGAATGGGCAAAAACGGGGGAGTGGGTGTGGAAGGGAAGATGGGATGGGATGCGGGGAGGACTTACCCAATCAGTAAAATTACATTATATATAATTTGCATTTCTGAGATCACATTTTGCAAGACGAAAGATGCAAAATTCAGTTCCTTCAGAGATCCAGTTGCATTTTGATAGTCATGAAGGTTGTTAGCTTATGCAGGTGTGAAGTTCACCCTGAAAACTGTGGGAAATACTAGTGAAATCTCAGAAGCTGCAGTGGGTTGGTGGGTGGGTCCACATGGAACCTCACATGGGTGATTCTGGCTTTTGCATTCAGCATAGCTTTTTGTCCCTCCCTTTAGTTGTAGAATAAATGAATTGCAAAGCAAGCCCTCTGAAGCTCCATTTACATATTGTATTCACAGAAAGCAAGCCTTTTGTTGTTTCGAGGGTGGCACAAATTGTTAAAGTAGACTCAAATAATAAAGACTCAGAAACAAAGCTGTGTAAAAGTGTAGTCACTAAATTCCTCTACGTAGCACTTGTAAGTAAATACAAACACATATTCACATACATCTACTGGACACATACATCCGGTCTAATTTATAACTCGGTATGCCTGCAGATTTTTATGTGCTTACGTAATTATTCATCCCTTCTTCTTGTTTCTCTGACACACAAACAAATCAAGGTACCTTAAAGCTCTCCTTTATTTGCCACAGAGGTTGAAAGCACCCTGTCCTGAAGGGCTGGTCAAACTTCACAAGAAGCATAACAAGAAAGGTATCTCACAATCCCACAAATTCTCTTTAGTCATATCTTAATCCAAAGATTTGCAACACGTGAGATGGATATACATTTGAAAATGGCCCTCACATGGCAAGTTAGTGAAGTATGGGAAGTTTGTAGGACCCAACCACACCGTTCTTTCAACATATCCCTGAATGATTGACATTTGGGGAAGAAAAACCATTCAGAGGCAACTGCACTCCACCTATAGAAGTACACTCCATCCATCAAAAGTGCAAAAACAAGGCTGAGACAACTAAGGTGAATTTGTGAACATCTGTGGGTTGTTTTTTGAAATTGATATTTTAGCAGCTTTGGATTTTGGAAAATAAAGAAATAAATAAGCACGGTGGCCAATTTTAGTTTTCTTTTTGTTTCCAAGCTTCTAGTTCTTGTGACACAAATTTAATCTTACAAATACATGGCCAGGGCTGATAAAATTCAGTTGGTATACTTGTGACTTGTTCCAGCATTTTATTTACTCTTTTCTCAAGGTATCTATTGCCAGTTTAATTGATAATAATCCAGAAGCTGAGTTAAGATACAATATGTATGTCATACCAGTCCTAGCCAAGGTGATTGATCTCCAAAAGCTAAGTGGAGTTCAAAGCTGCTTAGGACTTGGACAAAAAGCATCAGGAAATCCCAAGGCTATAGACAAGACTGAAAGTTGAAAAACCATGAATGAAGAAGATAATGACAACGCACTTCTGTACTATAAGAAAACTGCATGGAGATAGACTTAGCAGATTTGAACTAGGCTCAAAGGAAAACATCTCTCAGCTGAGCTTTGCCTCATAGTCAGCTATCACTTGATTTCCCACTTCAGATTAAATAAATCTCTCTTTAAACATTAAAAGAGGCATTACAAGGCATTTCTCCACCTCAGGAAACATCTGAATCTCCCCTGCAGAAATTGGTAACAGGGAAACATAAACCAAGGGGAAACACCCTCAGGTTTCAGTCATAGAAAATCTCACCAAGATTCTGCCAAATAATAATGATATGATATGGAGGGAAGAATTAAACACATTAACTATTTAAATGTGCCATTAACTATTTAATCATGTTAATTAAATTGCTAATTAACTTTTATTAATTATACTGTTAAAAAAGAACACGAAACAATGTACAATATATGAAATAAAACAAAGTACAAGAGCAATAGGAGCTCTAACAAAGCACATGCTTGGGGCAAAGATATAAATAAAAAAAGTAATACTTCTAGTACAATTACTGAAACAATTACTTAACAACCAGCCAGTGGGACACCCATACCTCCCAGCCCAAATTTGTGTAGGGAAACCTTTAGGTCTTCAATATTTTGCAAAAGATTAACAGGATGTGCCATCCAAATCTCCAGGGAATGTTGTTTCACAGGACTGGCATGGCACCAGATACCCATTCTCCCTGAAGTTAGGGAAAAAACTAACTACAAATAGTCCTCAACTTATGACCACAATTGGGAACAGAAATTCTAGCACTGTGCAAAGCAGCTGTTAAGTGAGTTGTACCTGATTTTACAATCTTTTTTGCCATGGTTGTTAAGTGAATCGCTGCAAGTTGCTAAGTGAATCAGGTGGCCATAAAGTGAATTCAGATTCCCTCATTAACTTCGCTTGTTGGAAGCCAGCTGGGAAGGTTCTAATTGGCAATTATGTGATCCCAGGATGCTGTAATTGTCATAAATGCATGCCTGTTGCTAAATGCCCAAATTTTGATCACATTACCTTGAGGATGCTGTGATGCTTTTTAAGGCTAGGACCCATCATAAATCACATTTTTCAATGCTGTTTGAATGGTTGCTAAATGAATGGCTGTAATTTGAGGACTACCTGTAATTATTCGTTTGTCACACCTTATGATTTGTGTGAACTGCACTAACATAACTTCCTAGGATGAATTGGAGCATTTGCACACAAGGTCTTGCCCTTGGCCTGCAGCATCAGCTCCTGACCTGAGTAATGCCGTCTTCTGTGTCCAGCAGCTGAGCTGAGTTAGTTCCAGCTCAGCTATGGTGGGATTCAGCTGGTTCACACTGCTTCGGCAGAACTGGTAGCTAATTTTTTTTTGAGTTTGGCAAACTGATTCCTAAATGGCCAGGCTAGCATGCATTCACGTGGCAGCAGCAGAATAAGCTATATCAGATCATGGGTGGAGAAGTTACTTAATTAAGTAGGAAAGTATAAGAAGAGAGGGGAAAAGGGAAGGGAAAAGGTAGGTTAGTGGAAGGGCTTTGCCAGCTGCCTTCATACACACTTTGCTCCATATTTGAGAAGCAGCCACCGAGGTTTTCCAGTTAGCAAGCAACGCTTGATTCAGCAAATGCTCTCTTGAGCATGCGCCAGAAACCCAATCATGCACGATGTTGCAGAGGACCCTCTTTGCTTGGTGTTTGGAGTTGGGCATTGGGTCACGTCTTCTTGAGCCCTGGTCGTCCCCACCCCTTCCCACGATGCTGATTCCTGGTTGGCCCAAAGTAGGACTCAAGCCTGCCAAGCCCCATTTCTCCTAAGATGAAGGATGAAGGTGACAGCATGGGAAGGATGGCTGGAATAGGCGGCGCTGCCCCTTTGGACCTTTCGGAGCTAGTTGGGGTGAGATTCAGCTCCTGCCCAAGAGTTCATCCTTTGCATTTGGCCGACGGCCACGTCAATATGCATTCCTAAAGCAGCTGTGTTCGATAAAAGGACTGTAACCCAGAAATTCCCTGGCTCCAATGCTTTTATTAGCCCACTTTGTTCACACAGTAGAGGCTGCTCCTTTATCTTTCTCTAGTTCTTGCTTCTAGTTGCCCGAGATCCACCCCAAAAATGGGTTCTTGTCAAATGGGACTGCATAGCTGCGCACTACACAGCGCTGTACATACATGCTGGGCAAAGCCCACTTAATAGACAGGCAAAGAAGAAGGGTTTTGAGGAGGGTCAAAGTGGATCCTGGGCGCTGTGTTGTAATGGAGAAATGGAAAACAGAGCAGCTGACATGGGATGACGAGGAGCATCGAGAAAAAAAGGGGGAAAGCATCCTCCTTCCCTCGTGTCAGCCGCTCCGTTTCCTGTTTCTCTATTGCAGCACCCAGGATCCACTTTGACAGTGGAGTGTGTGTGTTTGGGAGATGGTCAATCCCCATTCATGGCAGAACAACCTCGATTGTTAAGTTATTTGAATCCCACCACTGGCTATGATGCATTTGAAAATCACAGATGCTGTCAGCCTCTGCTTCGCTTGATTGCTATTGGCTGCCATAGAAATGGTGTGGGTGGGGGCATGGTATTTGGGAAGGGAATTGTGTGGTACTGGAGGAGTTAGAAGGGAGTTTTGTTCCCACCATCCTCTGTGCATGCTGATGGCTGATGTTTGGAATTGGTCAAGGTCAACCGTCTCCCATACCAACCCGATGAGACCTTTTGAAGATGCACCCCACATGAAATCTTAGGGAGTTGCAAATTGGACACTGGCTGAGGTAATTGAAGGGAGGGGGCTAGGTAATCATTTGATATGTACTTATTCGCCCCTTTTTGACTCAGATCTTGCTTTCCTTTTTGCTGCTTTCAGTTCATATCTAGTAAAAGTACTTTATCTCTATTCACATGGAGTTGAGGTTTTTCTTTCTTGGATACTGAAGGGGGCGTGCTTGTCAGATGCAGAACCACTGGTCCACTGGCAGGCGCTCTCAGCTCAATCCACCTCCCAGGTCATGGGTTCAAATGAATTTCCTTCCCCATAGAGGTTCAGATGTTATAGCAACAGAGTTGGAAGGAGGAGACATTATACATGTCCAGTCTCTACTTAAGAACCTCCAGTGATGGAGCACCCATAACTTCCAGTCATGCAACCTTCAGTGATGGAGCACCCATAACAGTGGAAAGGCAAACCGTTCCACTGATTGTTCTAACTCTAAGGAAATTTCTCCTAATTTCTAAGTTGGTTCTCTCCTTGATTAGTTTCCATCCATTGCTTCTTGTTCTGCACTTCAGATGCTTTGGAGAATAGACTGACCTCCCCACTTCTTTGCAACAGCCCCTCAAATATTGGAAGACTGCTATCATGTCTCCCCTAGTCCTTCTTTTCATTAGACTAGACATACCCAGTTCCTGCAACCGTTCTTCATATGTTTTAGCCTCCAGTTTCCTAATAATCATTATTGCTCCTCTATGCACTCTTTCCAGGGTCTCAACACCTTTTTTATATCATAGTGATCAAAACTGAATGCAATATTTCAAGCATGGTCCTACCAAGACATTATAAATCACACTCGGACATTATTAATTCACAGGTATTTTCAGAGCAATAGAAGGATTGTGCCTGGATGGCCTCTTAGCTTTTCCTTATAGAAACCTTTTTTGCAAGTACAGATGTACATAAAAGAAGCCATAGGAGAGAACTATTGACTATTATGTTCTTTGCATTCTCTTCCTGATTAGTTGGAAACCAATGTGGATATTTTGAAATCACCAACAACAAACACCACCAGGGACTGAATCCAAACAACTTATGAGGGACTTGAGAGAGGAAACATCATCTTCCTAGCGTTATTCCCACACTATGGCAGGGTCCACTTAAAACTCCTTTTTAATGACTGTCATCCCTCAATTCAAGGTAGAGTTGGGGCAACTGGATGGAGGTGAGCATTTACTGACCGGGTGCCTGATGCCATGTGGAGTTAGCAGCAGATATTTTTTTCTTTGCACAAAAGGGGTCACATGACCCCAGGACATCGCAACCACCATAAAGATGAGTCAGTTGGCAAGTATCTGAATTTTGATCAGGTGACCACAGGGTTGCTGCAACGGTTGTAACTATGAAAAATAGTCATGTCAGTTTTTTTTAGTGTTGTAACTTTGAACAATCACTAAATGAACTGCTGTAAGTCAAGGACTGTATTACAGATAGCCCTCAACTTACAAATGATAGCTTAGTGACTGAAATTACAACTGACCTCCCCAGAACTACTTACAATCAAGATTTGAAGTTTCTATGATGGACCACCCCCTATAGAGGGGGGGGGGGGTCACAGTCATATGATCATATTTTGACTGCTTGGCAACTAACCTGCATTTACAGCTGTTTGTACCATTCCCTGATCACATGCTTTTTTGTTTTCATTTTTTTTTTGCCAGAAACTGGCATTTATTAAAATTGGGCTCACTTAATCACCATCCCAAAAAAGATAATAAAATCAAACATGGTCACTTGGTGACCAGCTTAACAAAAAGCACAATTTATGACTGGCTCAATTATGGATGTAAGTTGAGGACTATCTATAGAAAAGAGAATGGGACTTTTAGGCAAAACAGATGCTGATATTGGCCTTAAGTTCAAGAAAGACTTTAATTTGCAAAATGAAAAAGTGAGTCATTCTTGAGTCCTTTTTGGTTAGCTGTTTCGCTCTGCCTAACATAATCAGCAACTGCAGCTGTCTCATAGGCAAGCAGTTCACAGTTAGTTGTCTCCAAAACCCTTGAGTGTTTCCTCAAACCCTGCCTTAGTGGCTATAAATATTTGGAAGTCAGATTGAGATAAAATAATAAATACACTGGGGATTGTTGCAGTAACTTCATTTTAGTGCAATGTAGTTTTTGTTCTCTCCTGAACAAAAGGTTTGCAACATCTGGGACAACAGGGAAAAAAGAGGGTGGATTAATAAGGCCTCGTCAATTGCTACAATAGAAAAAAAAAGTACAAAGTTAAATTAAGGAGACATCAGAGCTAGGAACCATTATTTTATCAAACTGGATGGGTTTTGGATTTATCTCGATGGCTAGATGAGATAGTCTGATGAGAGGGAGGGTGAGGGAGGGGGAGAGAGAATTTTTATATGTATAGTACCTATCTCTTTGTGTCCCAGATTTGTATAAGCATAGTTACCTGATTTTGTTTTTAAAGAAAATAAAAAACAGAAAACAGAGGGGGATTTCCTAGCTTTTCTCCACTGATTCATATAATATTACCTGCTGTCAAATTAATCTCTCTGTTTTGATGGCAAGAGACATATCACACCCACGATGGCTCTACTGTTTAAGGGCTTTAAGGAAAATCATTTTGTTTCGGAACCCTTTTTGCACATCACAAACATGAAACCTCACAAGTGTTAGCCAAACATTACAGAGATCTGCTTTCTGACTGAGCTCCCCTGACGACCAAGGAGATTCAGAGCTATCAAAGTTCACTGCTCATTAATTAGAGTGGCAAAGCATTTTTGCTCAGGTGCTCTTAGCCAATTGAAACATGAACCCCAATAATTACATAGAATAGAGGCGGTAAACCCCAGCAGTCCTAACCAGTCAGGATCTACAACCCACATTCCTGGGCCCCATGGGCGAGGCAATCATGCTACTCCCCAGCCGGTGTAAATATACAACTTCTCCATCCCCAAGAAAAATAATCCAGGTGTAGTCAGGACACAAGGAAGGAATTCCTGTTGGAAACTGAACTGAAGGACTGAACTGACGGAAGATGGGAGGCAGAATCTGGATCATAATGCTGCTGGCAATTGGGATTGAAGGGCAAATCCGGTGAGATAATGCAAGATGTTATTGAACTCTGGGCTGCAGAGGAGTATCTAGGAATTTAGATCCTCATAGAAGATAGGATAGCCTCTTTTAGTTTCAGAAGCTACAGCTGACTGGACCAGTTACAGTACTTCCCAACTTCCTGGCTAGCACGGTGAATTCTGTAAACTGTAGTCTTCATCCTTTGGAGGTTATTGGTTTGGGGGGAGGGATTGAGAAACTTGTGGCTTGAGGGACCCTTGATCGAGAAAGAAGAATATGATTGCAGAGAATATAAAGAATCAGGCTGTAGGGACATACAGCTTGCATTTCAAGGAAATGGTCTGTGTAAGACACCAACTGTGAACATAGAATATGGGATCTAAGATAGATAGAGGTAATTTGAAAACAAAATAAAGTGGCCTAATGATTAGAAAGGATGTCTCTGTGAAGTTAATGTAATGATCTACTTTTTCCTTTCCTTTGTGCTGGGCTACAAAGGGAGATCCTGCCTGGAAATTGTAGAATTTGTAGTTTCGATAAATCTGGAGGATCACCTGATTGTATAAACTTAGATTAAAATAATAGTTGTCAGTCAAATCGATGGATAATATTATGCTCACTCTTCTCTCTCTTGAAGAGTGCTGATAGCTTAACATGTGAATCTGTCCATATTTGGTTGGACTCTAACTCCCAACTCCCAATATCTGGAAAAGCAGAAGTTCTGCCACATTTGAAATTTCAGGTGTGAGATTTTAAAAAAAGGGTCTTTCCATCATACGCAGGAAAGTATCCTCAAAGGAGGCAGGAGAAATAAAAATGTAGAGATTCAAGATAAAAATTAAAAAGTGTATATACTGAATAACTAGTGGTTGGTAGTAAAAGCACACCTTGCCTTAAGAAAGATTTAAAAAACTGGGATGACTCAAACACTTAAAAAGAAATTGAATTAAACAGGTTAGAAGAGAAAGACTTTAGCTATAGAACTGGGTTTAAAAATATAAATAAATTCTTTTGTTCTGTAAAAAGAACAAAAGCTGTGAGAAACAGAACTCTTTGGTTCTTTAAAAGAACAAGGGAGGATTAAGTTGGATTTTAGGCTTGCAATTGGCCAGAAAACAAATTGCCAGATTAGGATGCTAATGGATCCCACTGAGAGTCCCCCCCCCCTTAACTGAAAATCTCTCTAGCACGTGTCCACTTTCAAGATAAAACAATGGCCTTGAAATTACCCATCCATATTAAGCAGCTGAGTAGCCAAGCAGATATATATATGGTTATTCTCTTCCAAACTCAACTGAGACGGATTCTATTTTTACTTAAATTATTGTACAGGCCAATTTGCAAGTCCAAATTTACACAAATATACATTTGTCCTCTTTCAGGTTTGCGCTTCATCTTTTTTGATGATAAGTAAGAGTTTTTCTTAGGTTTAATGTAGATTTCTCCCACTTTTGATAGAGAGATAAAATTTCGGATTCCATAGGGTTAGGGTTAGAATTAGGGTTGAAGGTCTGGGAGTTTAAAATTGCCAAGGATGAGAAACACTACAGTAGCATGATTACAAAATAAACAAGAGTTCATCTTGTCTCAAAAGAGGTGTTGCAACTTTTAATAGCATGTAAATAAATGCGAACTTACATTGTGTTGCTACTGTAAGGTACCTTTAGAGCAGGGGTGTCAAACTCAAGGCCCGCAGGCCAGATCTGGCCTGTGGGGTGCTTAGATCTGGCCTGTGGGGCCACTCTGGAAACAGCAAAGGACTGGCCTGTGGTGCCTCTGTCAGCGAAAATGGAATTTTTGGGGCTGGCACACACAGCCTCCCAGGCTCCGTTTTTAGCTGTGATGGCCTCCTGCAGCCCTCTACCAGTGAAAATGAAGCGTTCTACCTCCCCCCAAGCTCCATTTTCGCTGGCAGAGGGCTAGCAAAACAAACTAAAAGCAAAACAAAAGGAGAAATATTTTCCCTTTTGTATTTGAGCATCCAAGAAGAGACAGGAAAGGAGAAAGGAAAAGAAGAAAGACAAAGAAAAAGGAAAGATGGGAAGAGAGCAAGGAAGGAAAAAGAAGGGAAGGGGAAGAAGAAAAGAGAAGGAAGAGTGCAGGAAAAGAAGAAAAGGTAGGAAGGAAGGAAGGAAGGGAGGAAGGAAGGAAGGAAGGAAGGAAAGAAAGAAGGAAGGAAGAAAAGTCCTGCCTTAGCACTTGGCCACCAGCAGCCTGCTGCCCTTTCGCCATTCCCTTGTCTCATCCTCCTGACATCTCCTAGTGGTCTCCCATCCTATCGCTGAGGATGCTTTGGTTACAAAGCCAGGTCTACTTGCATGGCGAGGGAGTGGGCTTCCCTCTGACCCACATACTTTGCCCTCCCGCACACACCATGAGCAACCTGGCCAAGGAGAATGAGAACAGCAACAGCAGCCTTGAGGAGGAGGTAAGCGCTGCCGGGCACCCCCTCGGGGAAGTAGGGCTGGGTTGGACTGGGCTGTGGGGTCCCGATGCCCTGGAGATTGAGGGCTGGGTGCTTCCTCTCTGTTGCCTAGGGCAGTGTTTTTCAACCTTTTTTTGTGCAAAGGCACACTTTTTTCATGAAAAAAATCACGAGGCACACCACCATTAGAAAATGTTAAAAAAATTTAACTCTGTGCCTATATTG